AATGTACAGGATCAATGATTACCAGGATTTCACAACATGTTACTGTATTATTTCACAGTAAAATACTGTATTCAGACCATCCTCTGTGATAACACAACAAATTAAGTGATTTTTTTGCTTTTATCGCTCTTGCTTTAAATACTAATTTCTTTCTTTGGTGCAGGTTTCACTTAAATTGAAAGGGTTCACCGCTGAATGTGCCTTAAAATAAACGATGCAACATATACATCTATGTAAAATTGAAATTGTTGTCTTGGCTTATTGTTTTCAGGTGCTTCCTGGGCATTAATCCTGAGACGGGCTCGAAAACCAAAAAGAGGCATGGCAATTTAAACCCCCATGTCAGCACATTCTGCAGAAAAATTATTGACTTAGAGTGGTGCACCTGGTCTGCCCCTGGCTCAGCCTCTGCCCAGGTGCACCTGGTCTGCCCCTGGCTCAGCCTCTGCCCAGGTGCACCTGGTCTGCCCCTGGCTCCGCCTCTGCCCAGGTACACCTGGTCTGCCCCTGGCTCCGCCTCTGCCCAGGTGTTCCAAATGCCACTCAGCCGTGTATATATAAAGAGAAGCTGGAGAAGAAGGATGTCTCGCCTATCCTGACGCTGGGAGGCACTCTCCTTAGAATACCTCTTTGCCATTTTGAGCTGTAGGCCATATTTTTACAGATGTGTTTATATTTAGCCTGGAGGACCTGGTAGTCCAGTTTTCGGCTTTATTTTGTTTCCCGTAGGGTTTATAATTGAATTCTGGTTGGGGGGGGGGGGGAGCTCTGGGTCCTACGGCCCCTCCTTCTGTTTGTTCCTTTTGGCCACTCCTCCAGACCTCTTCTTGTTTCCCGTTTTGCTTGTGTGAGCAAACGGCTGATTATCAAGAAATGCTTGTTACCAAGTACCGGTTATTGCGTGTATTCTTTCATGTTGCGGGTCTCAGCACGAGCCACTACCGCGGAGTAGAGGTTGGGGCCGTAACAACATGTCCAAGACACTGTGAAATGTACTTTGCACTTCAATGGAGTAATACAAAGTTAAAATGGGCATTAACCCGGGTAGAGTCCCCTGACAACTCTCCTCACATTCCTCCAGAGTCGGAAAAAGTCTGATTTAAGTTTTCGGAGAACCAGAGAAAAGGGGTGAAAATGGAAAAAAAGTATCCGAAAATAGTGCCTCATAACCCGGGTAGAGTCCCCTGACAACTCCCCTTGCATTCCTCCAGAGTCAGAAAAAGTCTGAGTTCATTTTTGGACAACCATAGAAAAGGGGTGAAAATGGAAAAAAGTATCCGAAATTAGTGTCTCATAAGGCGGGTAGAGTCCCCTGACAACTCTCCTCACATTCCTCCAGAGTCGGAAAAAGTCTGAGTTAACTTTTCGGAGAACCAGAGAAAAGGGGTGAAAATGGAAAAAAAGTATCCGAAAATAGTGCCTCATAAGGCGGGTAGAGTCCCCTGACAACGCTCCTCACATTCCTCCAGAGTCGGAAAAAGTCTGAGTTAACTTTTCGGAGAACCGTAGAAAAGGGGTGAAAATGGAAAAAAGTATCCGAAAATAGTGCCTCATAAGGCGGGTAGAGTCCCCTGACAACTCTCCTCACATTCCTCCAGAGACCAGTTCAAAAATGTAAAGTTTGGTAAGAACCATGCTGGGGGGTCTCCATGCATCAATTCCTCTCAAAAACCGGGTTTCCGATTTCGTGCGGATGGTAGCTTGAAAAACATAAATTAATTTTTTTGACGGAGGAGGGGAGGTCTCGATTCCCCTCTCCTTTGTAAGTTGAAACGGGGGAGTGCAAAAGTGTCCGGGGCTTCGGCTCGAAGCCCCGAAGGGTTGAGCTTTTTTGAGCCCCTCCTCCGTTGGCACTTAAGATACAATTGACCGTTTTCTTTACTTTTTTCGTCTTTCCACGGGTGGGGGCGCATGGCAGGGCCGCCTATGAGCTCCCAAATTCGGCCTGGAACCTCCGGGAATTGTGGGCTATGCTCCATAAACGGACAAAGTCGATGTTGTATTCAAGGGGGTGGAGGGTCCTCAGGTTGATTATCAGGAGGTTCCTGTTCCTCCTCTCCCTCCTCTCCCTCCTCTCCCTCTTCTCCCTCTTCTCCCTCTTCTCCCTCTTCTCCCTCTTCTCCCTCTTCTCCCTCTTCTCCCTCCTCTCTCCCTCCTCTCCCTCCTCTCCCTCCTCTCCCTCCTCTCCCCTTCTCCCTCTTCTCCCTCTTCTCCCTCTTCTCCCTCTTCTCCCTCCTCTCCCTCCTCTCCCTCCTCTCCCTCTTCTCCCTCCTCTCCCTCCTCTTCCTCTTCTCCCTCCTCTCCGACGATACTAACTCTGGACATATTTTCAGTGTTTTGATCAGCTCTTTGATTCAACTCCTGATGCTCCTCCGAGTTATCTGCCGCTTCATTGTTGGATCTGGAAGCCATGTTGTCTCTGAGTGAAGCTGAAACACAGCAGACAGGAGGTACAGTCAGTCATGGCTCCCCTCCCCCCCTCTATTGACTGAAATCTACTCTGAGTGATGTTGAAGTCAGACTCACCTTCAGGGGGTGGAGGGTCCTCAGGTGGAAGCAGCAGGGCTGTAGTTTCCTCTTTTCTCTCCTGTAGCTGAACTCAGAGGAAGTTGTTAGTTTGGTCTGAAGGTGAATCTGATCGTCTGGTTTTCAGACCGTCTCTCTGAAAGAAGAACATAATCAGAATACCTTTATTAGTCCCACAGAGGGGACATTTACATTGTTACAGCAGAAAAGAGCCGAAGGCAGCTTAATGTTAAATATAAGGAAAGTACTCAGTGATGAGAGGAAAGATGTTATATTTAATTTTTCACTATTTATAATTTAATTACATTTTTTAACATTTTGAAAAAAAACGTTTTGAACATAGTGATAATTGAAAAGCAGAAAATTACCATGTGCATACACACACACACACACACACACACACACACACACACACATACACACACACACACACACACACACACACACACACACACACACACACACACACACACACACTGATGATGATATCAAATATTTTCTGAGGTACAAAGTGAAGACAATCAGACCGATAAGACCGATCTCACTTCGTTTCCCTCCACAAACATTCCTCGGCCACAGCTTCAGTCACCCAAGGCGTTCCCCCCAGGGATCAGTACTCGGCCCCCTCCTCTTCATCATCTACATCCTCCCCCTCGGTCAAATCCTTAATTTTTATCCTACCTTTATTTCCCCCCGCCTTGATTACTGTAACTCACTTCTCTACGGCATCCGCTCCCCCTCCCTCCATAGACTCCAAATTGTACAAAACGTAGCCGCCAGACTCCTCACACTCTCCAGATCATGGCACCACATCACCCCAGTCCTCAAAGACCTTCACTGGCTTCCAGTCTCCCAACGCATCAACTACAAAATACTGCCCCCCCCCCCCCATCTCACTGATCTTCTCACCCCTTACCAACCCCCACGGCCCCTCAGATCCAACTCAGCCGGTCTCCTGTCCCCCCCAAGTCCAAACTAGGCAGCTTTGGGGACAGAGCCTTTTCTGTGGCAGCTCCCACACTGCAAAAACTAAGCCTAAAAAAACAAGTAAAATAAATAATAAAATGAGTAATATATTACTTAATATAAGAAAAATTATCTGCCAACAGAACAAGAAAAATTCACTTGCCAAGACCTTCTTAAAACAAGTAAATATATCTAGCCTAAAAATATCTACATATATCTTAAAACGAGTGTTTTTAAACCAAAAATAAGTACATTTGAATTGATGCAAGGAAGGAATATAATCTTATTATAAGGAAAATGTGCTTGAATTCAGCATATTCTACTGCTATTGTCCCAAAATTCTATTTTATGTTAGGCAACATTTCTTAAATCCAGTGCAGCTTCACTTTAAACAGGTATATTTGTCTAGATACAAGATAAGATTTAAGAATTATTTTCTTAATATGTAGAAAAATCTACTTAAATTCAGCATTCGGTGCTATTCTTAAAATAAGGCTAAATACCAAGAAACGTAGAGACAAAACCTTCAAAAATCTTTAATCCTATCAAGATATAAACTTTGACTGCTTGCATAAAGAAAAATGAGTCTCAAATGATTTCTTTTAATGTTTTTATTGTTTTCAAACTGCGTAGTAAAGGTCAGTCATCAGATATGTCTTTAGAAAAAAAGAGAACATGTAACACTGTAAAATACAACACAAGTGAAATCTCATGACACTTTTGACTCAGCGAACAATTTTCAATAGGACTATAAGTATGAGGGGCCGCTAGGGACATTATTCAGAAATACCGTTCACTTACACATGTGAAACACTCTCACACACACACAACTGAAACCAAAATAATTTACAAACATATCTAAAAATCTCTCATATACACATATGAAACGCTCTCACACACATGACATCCAAAGTTATTCACACACACATGTGAAACGCACGCACTCACACCTGAAACGCTCTCACACACGAAACGCTCTCCCACAGATATGAAACGCTCTCACACACATGAAATGCACTCATATACACATGAAATGCAATTTCAGTATGTTGTGTGAGAGGGATTTCAGTTGAATCTGAAGGCATCTCGGTTGAAAAGGAAGTCGTTTAAAAAAAAAAAAACTGCGAAGAAGCGCACATTTCTAAAAGGCGAGATGCCTTCCGTTTCAACTGAAATCCCTCTCACACAACATATTGAAATCGCATTTAATGTGTATATGAGTGCGTTTCATGTGTGTGTAAGAGCGTTTCACATGTGTGTGTGTGTGTGTGTGTGAGGGCGTTTCAGGTGTATGCGAGTGCGTTTCAGGTGTGTGTGTGAGTACGTTTCACGTGTGTGAGTGCGTTTCATATGTGAATAACTTTGGATGTCATGTGTGTGAGAGCGTTTCATATGTGTATATGAGAGATTTTTACATATGTTTGTAAATTATTTTGGTTTCAGTTGTGTGTGTGAGAGTGTTTCACATGTGTAAGTGAACGGTATTTCTGAATATTGTCCCTAGCGGCCCCTCATATATAAGTGCCCTAATCACTTATGAACTTTTTCCAATCGGCCATAGCCTTTTTGTATGAAGTAGTCATGTCACGGTCGTGAATGGCGTCCAAGAGGACTTCTGTCTGCACCACAGACAGGAGTGTTGCAATGCACTTAGGATAGGTGAGGTGAAAGGTGTAATAACATGCCATGAGATACATCACGCTTTCATGAATGTCCTCTTTTGGGAAGATGAGCACGGGCATGGTTCCAATGGCCAGTATACAGTTGGTTTCGCAGATGATGACAACAGGGCTGGAAAGTGGTCGTGTCTGAAGAAAGGTGTTTGGGTCTTCTGCAGACTGACACAAAAACAGACAAAGAAATCGTCACAAAAAGGGAAACAAATATGATCACAACATTTCACTCTTTGTATCGACATGAGAAAATTCTTATACATTTTCTTACCTCAAGGACGTGGAGCAGAGCCTCACTTGCGTGCCTTAACTTCTTGGGTGGGGCCATAGGTGATGGGAACATCTCTGGTAAAGCCTTCATCATGGCAATTGAGTGCTTTACTGTTGAAAAAAAAAGTGTCATTCCGTTTCCTGCAGTCAGTTAATAAACAGACATGGTCAGAGATAATAATCACCTTTGTCAAGCTGCGGAGGCCTCATGAGCTTTTTGAAAACTCCATAAAACTGTGCCCTCTCACAAAAGGTCCCCCACCGGGTCTTAAGTTCCGTTAAGAAGTGGGAGTTGCCTTGATTGAGGACCCGCCGTAGTTCATCCATTAGCTAAGACAACGAGAGAGAAAATATGTAGAAGAAATATTAAAATCTACATTCCAAGGGTTAGTAATTCGTCTCATAACTGAATTTCCAAAAAAAGATTAATATGTGTATAATGTGATTTAAATGGTCACTTAACAAAAATATGCACATAGAAACATGTGTTTTTTTGCAAATGTATGTCTTATGCACACACTATTTTTAAATACGTATTGTGGACCAATAATACTAACAAAATAATGTTGTGTGTATCAGAAGCACATTTGTGAAATTAGTTATTTTTAAATAAGTGGAGGGTTTTTATATATCTATGCAGAATAAATATTTGTATTCAATAAGCATATTTGAGTCATTCATTTATAAATAATGAGACAGATCTGATTTAATTGTCACACCATTTCTCATTTCAAATTTGGTCTAACGTTATCTGAATTAGGAAGCATAGTTGTACAACATTTGCTTACATGATCCAGTTCTCCAAAGCAAGGATAAGCTTTAAGAATCTTGGAAGGCCTGTCCTGCTCCTTTGTAACATCAGAGTCAATGAAGGCCCTTCTCGCTTGGATTTCGAGGTCCAGGAGCTGAGCAACATCCATCTTGTTCGGTCTGGCCTTAGTTTTATACATCGCCTGTAGAGTCTTATAGTGTCTCGCCTGGGTCTGTGGGCTCTCCGTTTCTGATGCTAGAAAACATAAACCCCACTATTTTCATTTCTGATGTTAAAGTTGAAATGAGACATTAACACACAAACAGCCATAGTGACTGACACAGGGCAAACATAGATGAGTAATCTTGAATAAAAAAGGGTTCTAAAATAGCTTATTGATATTATAAAATTTTCTTGAAGAGATTTAACTATCTACTATTTCAATTGATGTACTTACCACATAACTGTTCAGCCTCCGGGGTGCTGCATCGAGATGGTGGTGATCTCTCCAAGATCAAGGTTGATGCGGTGGATTCATCAGTCTCATCAGTGGACGTCTCATGGCTGCTCTGAAAGCTTAAACTCCTAGGCCTCTTTCTTGAAGGAGTTGAACCCTGCTTCTTTTTGGGGGTTGTCACATTCTGGACCCTTTTCAAAAGCTGCTTTTTCACAGTTTCCTTACAAGACAGACACACAACAGGTTCTGTTATAACTCACATAAAACAAACTTGTATCAAACAAAATACACCATACAAGCAGTTGCACAGAGCTCTTATTGAACTGGATAAAACACATCACTCCCAGTTTGATAGGCAAATGATTGCAGTGCTTTGTCTGAACCATGAGTTGAAAACTTGAATAGTGACATACCCACTCAGCTCTACTGGTTTGAGATCTGTCCCGAAGCATTGGGTAGTACTCAATCAGACGCTTCGCCATTACAGTGAGTTCACGGCTGCATGGATAGTTCAAGTCATCCCCAGCTGCTCTTTTAATGGAAAGCATGATTGTGACTGTATTCCTGATTAATCGACAGCGAAGATCTTTGGAAAGGACGTAGTCTCCTTCGCACGCTGCTTTTCAGAAAAGGTGCTTCGTGATTGCTCCAATTCTGTGTCTGTGTATAAAACATACAGTAGACTGGGAAGTTGTACGGTTCTGCTGGCACCATGTTGGGGTTGTGGGCTTTGAGAGGAGAAGGAGGGTGGAGAAAAGACGGGGGATGGAGAGGGGTTGGGGCAGGAGGAGGAAGAGGAGGAAGAGGAGGGAAACAAGGAAGGTTGGGGGGTAGGAATAGGGCTGAAATCACAAGTCCCATGGGAGGTACTCGGTCTACACAGGTCTGTCTCCTGGCCCTGTATAAAAGATGCATATATATATAAAATGGTATTTACAATGAAAAGAGCACTAGCTGTGACAACAACAAAAATCAACACAACCAAAAAACTCCACTTCAAATAACTGCATGATGACTAGGAAAGGCTTACTTGGTAACCGGTTTAAAGTCCCTCAAATGTTAGAATCTGGAAACACCTCATTTTCATCATGATTGAGTCTCCAAATGGTTCTTCTTCTTCTGAAGTGCTCAGGCCCGGGAAGGAGATCACGCAAGTCCTCCTTAGAGAGGCTGGGCAGCATGTCTCTGCTTATATTAGCAGCTGAAAACACATTTAACCACACAGTTAATAATAAGGTAAAAAGCAACTAATAACATATTTATCTAAATACATAAAATGAAAGAGTAATGTACATTTCTGGCTGGCTTCACAAGATTTTCTTTAACATTAAAAAATGTATTGCACTTACTTATAATTGATTGAAAAAATTGCTGTTACAATAGGTTCATCCAGAGTTAAAGTTATTTTGACCAAATGAAAATGAAAATGCACCAGGGAAATGAATAAACGAGGCATGTTGTTAGGATAAATCCATAACACAAATGTGTAAAATCTCATAGGCTATAAAAGTTATACATTTTCAGCATCTTTTATAGTACAATAAAACAAATCTTGATGTTTAAGAGCAAACACAGTTAAACTTATTTTCAAAACAGTGTCTTTACCTTGAAATCTTTATTCAAATAAGCATAATTTACGTCCCAAGCCTGCTTATATCCAAAGGACAGTGTAGTTTCAATAGCCTGCACTGCACTATCATACAACAACGCATTTGTAAATGCTGTCTACAACAAAGAAGGGCGCCAAAGATGGCTATGCTAGTGTACAACAAAGAAGGGCGCCAAAGATGGCTATGCTAGTGTACAACAAAGAAGGGCGCCAAAGATGGCTATGCTAAATACTTTACTGTCAGTTGTGGAAGGCTCATTTGCTTCTTGACATTATTTCTGGCAATAAAACAGTATCAACTAAAATGTTAACCACGATTGGTCGATTGTGCAGTTATTAACAGCTTACAGTAGATAGTAGCTAAGTTAACTAGATATGTAGCTAAATTCAACCGATTCAAATAATGTAAAGCTTGTTGGAGAGGTGCAGTATAACATACAAAATTACATTACCTTTTAATGCTGCAGTTGCTATAGGATCCAAGCATGTGATATATCTTCCATTTTCATCCATGGCGTAGTTTTAATGTTCAATCACTTGCAGAGGTTCAGTCTTCTGCCTGAAGGAAAGCTAGCCAGCAACGTCCTGAAGCTAGGTGCACCTGACCTAACACACGCCCTTAACGGACCCTCTTCGCGGTTCCCATTGGAAGGTACCATTTCTTAAAGAGGGGTGACAGAGATATTTTATAAGTTGCAAATATTAGGAATATTAATAACTGATGCGGTCATAGGTAACATTTCAAACATCTGTTTCTAGATGCACATCATTCCACAAGTTATTCCCAGGCATTATTATGACGTGTATATATATATATAGGAAGACGACCTCACCGGCCTCCCCCATACAGCTAGAGAATGTGATAAACCCACTTCATTAGTTATTTTCCCCAACGTGTACATGGCCTGCTGCAGAAACGTTTTAATATAGTTAACTTTTGGAAGATATCACGATGCTTTGGCGGTGCGTTATCTGCTGCGTTTTTATAACTTTTTCACTGAAATTATTATTGAGCCATATTAATCGACTGCACAGTCGCAGCTCTGACTTCAGGTTGCTCTGTGGCATTGATGGATGCACTGAGGAATATAGAGTGTACAACTCATTCTACCATCATGTAAAGAGAAGACAACTTTCAACATCTTCTTGAAGACACCAGACCTGGCGACGCCACACGTGGAGATGAAACCGACAGGAGGAAACCCAAGGACCGCAGCAAAAAGTAAGTAACGTCTGCTAATTCAGCTAAGATTGTTAGCTACAGTGTTTGGGCCACGTGGCCACTCGGATACAGGGTTAGTTTCGTACATTGTGTGATGCTACAGATAGCGTTAGCCACATTTAGTTATTATAAACCCATTAGCATTAACTAATGAATCTGCTAGGCTACAAGCAGGCGGCATTCTGTCAACCATATATTTTTAATTCAGCAGTTAGCTATGTAGTGTTTTTGTGGGGATGAAAAAACCGTTTTAAAAATATGCATTACGTTGGTGTTCGGCCACAGTTACTAAAACAGTAAATCACAAAAATTATGGTTTTCCACTTTTTTCACTCTGCAATATTCTGCAAGGTGCATGCATCACTGTCAGGATCTGCACATGATTTGTTGAATTCACCAGTTTTAGCAAATCAGAAATACATCTCAAATTCTTTACCCACTATTAAACTTAAACAAAAATAAATAGATTTTTCAGATTGATTAGAAAAAAAGTTTCATGGTTTGTTTTCTGGACTGAAAAAATGTAATAAAGAGTGTTACCCAGACAATGGATAAAGTGCTACGGCTTACAGTTAATAATTGTTTGCTGAAATAACTCTTACCCCCAAAGTTTGTTTAATGTGAAAATAATCTTAGATAGAAAGGAATTACATATTTAAATTGCTCTTTTAGTGAAGCTAATTTTTTACAATTTCAAACAATCTTGTTTCTTTGATATGTTGTACACAGGACAACATTCAACCCGATCAGCTTTCCAGCCGACTCCAGCAGCGAGGATCAGAACCTTCACACACCTGACTCAGTGAAGAGCAAATGGGCATCGACCAAGATGGAGCTGTCACAGTGCACCAAGTATGTTTTCTTTGTTGTTGACTATCTACTGAAAATTAAGGGCTGCTAAATAAAGGTCAGGCCGATATAGTAGTGGCTAATATTGGCCTAGCATATCATTTATATATCAATATTATGTTGAAATATTTCATTTAAATTCACCAAATGATTCATAAAACCTAGAGGTATATGTGAAGATGTATTTCTATGTGCTGTACTAGCAAAACTAAATGAACACATAAAGAGTTAGAATGGCTTATTGTCTTGTTGGAGTACTAATGTTTGATATGTTTTGGTCAGAGTTACAAAATATTAAATGATCTATCTTTGCTCACCACATGTCACCAGTTTTTTATCATCAGATGTGCATACATTTAAAGATTATATATTTCTGTCACATTGAGTAATGTTATACCTGCAAATGTCAAGTTACTACATTTTGTATTGTAGGATCTGACAACACATGCCACTGCCTTTGTTATCAATGCCCGATCCAAGCATCGTCTGTCACAGGTAAAATGCTTCCTATGTAACCTTTTTGGACTAAAAGCATTATGCCATGTGTGATCTGCTTCTCAGAACATATTAACAGGAAATATTTTGTGTGCGACAAAGAAATGCAAATGAGCATTTATTATCCAGAAATTCAAGCCATTCACTCTGACTAACCCAGTAAGGGATTTCCCATATTTTATTACAATTTATAACCAGACACAGTGTAGCCATATATTAAGTTAGACCTAGTTGTTCTTTGAGAACAGAGCACAGTATTTGGCTACCTACTGTACACAGTTAGCAGTTAATAGTGGTTCACTGATGGCCGAGTTCAGTTTTAGTGCTTTGTTATCCACTTTACTGTTGTGTCTATGTCATAAGCAAAACTGTATATCACATAAAGCTACAGTGATCATGATAATGTTTACCAACATCAAAGATTGATCACATCACTTTCAATCTCTCATTTTCAGAAAGGCATGAATGACATTGTTGCTGGGGTACAGCAGTATCAATCATCACTATTGGACAACCTCAGGACGCAGATGAAGGAAGTTCTAAAGAAGAATTCAGGAAGTACAACCAATCAACTTGGAAAAGATGCAATGGATATATTTGACAGTTTCATTGACCCCTTTGCTAACGTTTCAACAACATTTCGCCAGAACAGTGTTATTAGGAAGCAGTTTTGTTGTGTGGATGCAGAGGAAATTCCAATTGCTCGAACCATATGCAGGAAGAAACGTGGAGGATCAACAGATTTTGTCATCAAAGACAAATTATTTTATTATGTACCATTAGTCAAAAGTGTAGAGCAGTTCCTATTACATCCGAGGATTTTGACTATGATTGAAGAGGTACCCCAGAGGTGCAGTGAAGGTTTTCTTCATGACCTTGTTGATGGTTCTCTTTTAAAATCTCATCCCTTATTTTCAGAGAAACCAAATGCACAGCAGATTATTCTGTATACAGACGAAATAGAGATCTGTAATCCACTAGGATCCTTTTCATCAAAGAACAAGTTGTTAATGGTGTACTACACCCTAGGAAATATAAATCCAAAATACAGGTCTAAGCTGGCTGCTATTAGGCTACTTGCGATGGCTAAATCAGCAGACCTCCGTCAATCTGGTGTAGATGTAATATTGAATAGAATAAAGGAAGACATGGATGCATGTACAGTGGTGTTAAATTCAAACTATTAACGGGGAGAAAACAATACATGGTGCTATGGTTTCTCTCTGTGGTGACACCCTGGCACAGCATGAACTCGCAGGGTTCAAAGAAGGAGTGGGCTTTTGCTTACAGTAAGTGCAGACACTGTGAGTGTTCTTTTGAGGACATGCAGTCACAATTCAACGAGGATGCATATATTAAAAGAACATTGGAGAATCATGTCAGACAGTGTGATGAAATAGAAAAGGCTACCACAGACTTGCTTCGCAACAGCCTTAGAACAACATATGGGATCAATCGAAGGAGCAAGTTAGTTGACTTCCCATCCTTTGATATTATTCGGCAAACCCCGCAAGACATTATGCATGTCATTCTTGAGGGTTATAGCTCCTCTGGAAATTAAATGTGTTTTGAATCATCTTGTCAGTCAGGAGAGTTCAATCTGGACTCTGTGAATTCAGCTATTCTTGGTTTCCCTTATTCGCCTCTAGATGTTAGAGATCGACCTTCCCCAATTTCTCCGAGTACACTGATGTCAACTGATGGTAAACTAAGGCAGTCATCAGGGCAAATGCTTGTCCTGTTGAGGATATTGCCATTTGTTTTGGAACATTTGAAAGTCAATGCATATGTGCAGTTGATAATGGACTTAATAGAGATTGTTCAACTAGTGTTTGCACCTGTTCTTACCATTGCAACTGTGTCAAGGTTAAAGTTACTGATTGAATGAAGTCATTTGAAGCATTGGAAGGAGCTTTTTCCAGACCACAATGTTTACACCTAAGCAGCATTACATGATACATTTGCCATCACAGATAGAATCATTGGGTCCCATGGTCAGACATATGTGTATGCGGTTCGAGTCTAAGCATTGTTTATTTAAGCAATGGGCCTCCCAAGCTCAATTTTAAAAATGTATGCAAGTCTTTGATTAATCAGAACCAAATATATGAAAGCTGCCAAAATGTTGACCCTTCCAAGCACCCAATTTTTTCAAATGAAAAGGAGATGGGTCCTGTATCTGAGGTTAGAGATCTACAATATTTACATGGGAAATTGAGGGACTTCCTAGGTTTCAGTGAAATTAACCATGCTGTATCAGTGAAATGGCTTGTGATAAATGGTAATAAATACATTACTGAGAAGTCCTTGATCCTTGCCAATGTACTAAATGGTAATACACCCGAATTTGGACTTGTCAAAAGCATATTTCTTGTTGATTCTAAGCTTTATTGTTTGGAATATCAGCCTTTTCAGTCCATATGCTTTGATAGAAATGTTATGGCTTATCAAGTTGAGGTCCCACACCTTGCACAGGCCACTGAGTTAGTGGATGCTGAAAAGCTGGTTGATTTTACCTCTTATTACACAATCAGCAGAAAGGCCAAACCTATGTACAAGTGAAATACTATCTTGGGGATGTAATGGAATTAACAACAGTTCAAATGACTCATAGCGTGTTCCTTTGATATGATGTTTGAAACATTTAAAGCAAACTTAGCAGGTTTTAAATGTAGGACTAAGGTCCTGACTTAGGATATGTTATTAGCAGATTCAAATGTTAGCTGTTTGGATTCCAGATGCGTTTTGCATTATAGTTTGCAGTGTACCTAAATAATCTGTATCTTTGTATAATACTGGGTCTTTCTTTCAGGTTGTTTTAAATGTTAATTACATAACATGTTATCAGCCATGTAGGTGTTTATCACAATGCTGTTTATGTTTGCTAAATGCCCTTGTCCTGAATAATGTAACCTACTTTAACTTTTCAAATGAGATGTTTGCACATATTGCTCAATCACTTTAGCTTGCTGAAGAATAATACATGCTGAAAAGAATGTTCTTAATGCAGTAGTTTGACTTGGCTGGTGCTGTTATTTCTGTATACTGCATTTCATATATGGACATACTTAATTGATGTACTGGGTTTTTAGAGCGACAATAAAACAATGAATTTCCATTTGGTCCTTATCTGTTTTTAATATGTTAAGAGATGAAAAAGGATAGGATGCTTGCAATAAGATATTCTGACTTTGAAAAAGCAGTTTTCTACTTATCAGTGTTGATCTAATATCTTTAGAATTATGGTATTTCTCAATTTAAAACATTAATTTACTCAGAATCAGTATTAAAATCTCAAAAACAAGTAATAAAACCTCATTAAGATAATGAAGTAAAAAAACACTTAATGGAAGTGAAATTCACTACCGCAAAAACTTCTTTGTGTAAGAGGAAATATCTTGGCAGACAAAATATAAGCATATTTTGTCTTGATTTAAGATATTTCATCTTAGTAAGATTTCAGTTTTTGCAGTGTACACGATATGCGGGTCAGGTGAGAGAGGTTATAGAGTTTAAGTTAGTCCCCAGAGATTTCCCAGCAGCAGAAAAAAACTGCCATTGCAGAGAAGAAACACAAGACAATCTGCAAGGGTTAAATTCCTGTGCAGGATTAGCGGCTGCCTCGCGGGGCTGCAGCCAGCTCCGGCTGTTTGGTGCTGACTGATCGCTCTGCTGAAAAAAGCTTAATCACACAGCAACCTCTGGCTTGTTGGATCAACAGTGCCTTGCGAGGTTTATAAGTCACACACCTGGGGATGAGCTGTGTTTTGAGGTGATGCAGTCACCGTGCTCCTGTCAGAGCGCTGCATGAGGCAGACGTGTAGTTTTCCTGAATTCAGACACGCAGGGATGTTTCTATCTTCTAACAAACTGAGAAATAACTTTAAAAATATCTTGACGTTGACATGCTTGTTTTTTTTGCCCTCTCTCCTCTCATCCCCCTTCCTTTCCTGTGGCCTGTCCTCCTTCTCTCTTCAGGATCTACTCCGTGCCCACAGAGCAGGACCAGAAAGGGACCGTCTAGTTCCTGGTGGAGTCCAATAACAAACAAGAGAGGAGCGTTGGGTTATGTCGTTTCCTACTCTTTGACTCAGGACAGATTTATTTGCACAACAGCCTGCTTCCTCCATGCAGTTCATAGTTCGCTACTACACCAACTACTAACAAAACATATACATTTTCTTTCCACTGTTGTATACTTAGTCTCTGCCCCAGCCGTGTATACACCACAAACACGCAATTTAGCCGGGGACATTTGGAACACATTCAAACCTTTTAATTGGATTCTATTTGAGGAATCCAAATCCAAGCCAGTGAATATGGCTTAAAGCTTCTTTAGTTAAAAGGGATGATTTAGCACAGCAGAGCTTCCCTTTTTTTAACTACCTGAAACAAGAAATGATTCCTACCAGCCATGCAGTGAAAGTGTATTTGCGTTTGATTCGGTGCCTGTGGAACAGACCTGCCTGTGTGAAATGGTTGAGGAGCTTGACAAACCATGCTAATCCACGCTAAGCCAGCCCAGTGCTCACTTCACTTGTCTGACACCTTCTGTTCTAGGCCCAGGAGTGACAGGAGGTTGAGCAATAAGAGATAAAAACCTGTTCAACCTCTTCTCAACCTTAGTAATAGACATGTGAAAATAGTGTGAACATCTTGCAAGAAATTATATGAATCAACTGCCCAAAGAATGATGTTTTCCTTCCTCCCTTTCTGTTACGTTATGAAAGGCTTTCACTTTAGGCCCGCTGGCTGTAAATACAGCAGCTCTCTGAGGGCAGTAGAGAGTTAGACTAATGCTTCACACTGGTAGAAAGAAGCTGGGTGTGAGGGAGGATTTAATCTCACAAATCAAATAAAGTCCTGCGGATGATTGGGAAAATAACAACAATGGTTTTGTTTTATACACACAAAGCGTTATGGCTCCTCTCTTTCCATTTAAATGGAAATCAATCATGTCCTGTGAAAGAAAGCTTTCTGTCCTAGAACCCCACGCACTGGTTGCATTATTTGTTGCAATAAAGAGGGAACTCTCTCTTGCCAAGGTTAAAGGGGAATGGGACATGCGCCCGATCGACATGACGGTATTTCAATTGTAGATCATGACGACACTTATAATGGAGAAAGCGCACTGGGGTGGCTACATGGGGTTGAACACTGGGATTTGTCAAAGCAGGATCTCTCTTTGCTCTTCCACTAAATCCTGCGTTAATCTTGCCACTGGGGGACAGGGCTTGGCCTCATTCCAGCCTGACTTGAGAGCAAAAACAATTGGGCAGTCACGTCCTACTGTGCGTACAGCAGTTATAGGTCTGTTGAGGCGTTGCCTTGAAAATGATGCATCCCAAGACCATTGGCAGATGACATTATTGTTTGGGTGTTTGTTTTATGATCAGATTTGAGCACTGTGTACGTATGTGTCACACAAGCGTAGCATTGCCCAATGAGCCTTCAATATGTGCCAACATTTCAATTGGTGGACAATTGGACAAACATTGCAGTGCAAAACATTTCAGTTTTTATTACGTCTTAGTATTTCCCTTTTCTGTCGGAATGACAAACCATAATTGTACAGCATGGCAGCAGTGTTTTCTTTTAAGATTTTTTTCAATAAGCAGAAAGAGAAATGCAGCATTTATGGTAGCCTGTTCTAATGTGACCAAACTCTACTCCGTTATTCCCTCTGTAAAGGCTCTCTGCTCTGACACTGCGTTTGTAAATGTAACAAAAGTAGGTGTCGAGCTTTTGTTTCTTTCTCAATGGGATTTATCTGGAAAAGGTTCCGATTTCTTTTCTTTTCTTTACAGGCTTGAGTACGGTGTCCCTGAGGTCAATGCACTGCAACTTAAGAAGCATATACAAAGAAAACATCTTTATCAAGGTGACAAAATGTAAGCATGATAAGAAATAAAGAGAATCAAGTACAGAGGACGTGCTACAAATACACACGTCTGCACAATTTGCAGGATTCCTGTACTCAGATGTGCATGTGCACGATGTCTCTTTGTTTGTCTAATTGCACGTTTTCTAAAGCTGCAGTCCATAAGCCATCAGCGCCCCGTACTAAAGGCTTTGCCTGGCCTTACACATTTCTCTTTAGGATTTATAATATATTGTATGTATTTACAGACCTATATATTTGCATTGTGTCTCTTCACAGAACAACATACTGTACTTGGCTATATGGTCTTTTTATATACTTAAGGGGTTATGTATTATCTCCACTGTTCATTTATAAATTGCTTGTAAAAAGACATTTGTGGTGAGTGAGAGTATGTTTTTCCAAAAACTCTTTTATAAAATGTCTGCAATTTTTGTGTTTAGCAAAACATTTATTTGAACTTAATGTTGAATACTGTTCACATGTGCGAAGGCATTTGTCTTTCTGGAAGAACTCCACTTAAGTGTTTGTGCAAAGGGAATTCACATTGTTTTTAAAAATATTATTTACCATGTGTATATATTATATAGCTATATACAGTATCTCAATTGCAGTCATATCATGAATCAATTGTTTGCATATCTGCTCTCTCTGATTTGTTCTGATACTTATCAGAACAGTTGATACTACTGTATTACTAAGGTATGCTGTACTCTGTTTATAAAATGTGCTTGCTTTCTCCCAGTTTGTTGTCTGCATCATTTTTGCCATATGGATGCAAAGATAATGCGCCAGTGGATCTTGTTTAATCTAGGGCTTTACTCACTTACAAGCATAGAGCCACTAAGAGGCTTAGACACCCTTCCTAAACATCACATTGAGTTGAGACTGAAGGCGTAAAAGGCATGCAGGATCTATCAGGAAGAGAAAGTGACCCAGCTCTCAGTTTCAGATCCTGAAGTGTTGTGCGAGATTGTCAAACACACAATGTTAAGGGGTAATTCTTCATAACCTTTAATAATAATAATCCTGGCTCTGAGACACTGCCTATGGCTGTGTTATCAGTTATAAGATTAAAAAAAAGGTCATTTAGAAACCAGCCGCTTCATGGCTGAAGGTGTGATTAAAATGAATGACATATCATCGTTATTGCTAAGATGAATAATCGCTTTACTTTTTAGTGCAGTTTGCTAAGTATAGAAAGGACATTTGACAAAGCTTAAGTCAGTATGGATGGCGTTTTCTTTTGTTTATTGGGTGTTTTTCAATGTTGTTACCAAGCAGCGTACCGTCACTCAGTCCGCGTTCACACACAACACACAGGTTTTGGTTGAGTGTTTCTTAGCACTTGTAATATGTGTACACAAGGTGTCTCTCTTTAGCCTTGGACCACTTGGTAAGATCTGAAAAAAAAACATTCAAGTATCAAGCCCTATTTAGGCAATCAATTATTATTTATCAAGCAAAAGTATACCACTATGAGGAAAATAAACAATGCGCTTTGCAGTTATGGTTTTACCCAACAAATAGCTTAATCATTTTTTTGTTGTATATAATCATCACAGAGATTTTAGTCAGCATCTGTTGAGCTATTATATGTCTGACATGACTGATTGTTTGCCATATATCACCCGGCAGCCTGTGATATAAATTACCTAACTCATTCTACCACACTTCCCCCACCTTGCAATATAAGCAGGGCTTCCTGCTCACAACTGTAATTTAGTTAACATTACTTTTGCATCAGCTTCCATTGTCTTACATAACTCAGCCCTTGTGCTAATCATGGACCTCTCAAACAAGGCAAACATATAAAACATTTGAACATTAACTTGAATGAAAGAAAGTTTTTACTTAGATGACTTCTTGTGACAGTTGGGCAGCCGACAGATCCTGCACCTGCAGACAGAGATAAGCAAAAGAGTTAGGAGTGCAGTGGGCTATAATTGCAGTGATTAACAACAGAATAAAGTGAATTGCAGAGCCACACTTACAGCCAATGACCATGATGCCCACAATGAAAAGGCTGCTGCGATGGTCAGTCCAGCATAGCGCAGGGACTAATCTGGACATATAACACATGAATCAAGACCACACTGGAACAAACTGCTCCAAAATCAAGTAAAAGAATAATGAAAACAAGGTGTTCTCGCTGTAATAAGTCAAACAAATCTGCCAATAGAACAAGTGAAGATTTGCTTGGTTAGATTTCTTGAAATAAGATGGGATATTTAGATAAAGGAGATTCATTCATTAGCTGGGAAAATCATTTTGAACTATATTTGACCAGGATCATGTAAATGTTATTCCAAATAAGACGGAAATGTTAGTTTTCTGATGTTAGTTGGTGATTTTCCAATAAGAATTTGTTTTTGTTTTTTAAATCAAGTAAGATGTATTTGTTAAAACAAGATTAACCACAGCAGCTTAAAGAACTTGTTTCATTTGAGATACAACTCAAAATAAGATGTTTTCAAGAGTCTTGAAGATGCATTGTCTAAAAACAAGACCCTATATCTCACTGCATTGTTACCATCTTCAGTTATTATGTCTTGTATCAATGTAAAGACATATTCTGACTAGATATTAGACAAATACATTTGGCAACAGGTAATAACACACAGAAAAGGCAAATATAGCTTCTTACCATAGGTGAATCTTTATCCTGCTCCGGGTCTATAAGAAGCAGAAAGTAAAGTATTGAGTTGAGGAAAAGCAAAGAGAGAAAGGATCACCGGGTAACAACAGTCAGAGATAGAAGACAGATCTACCGTCCTCTCTGACATGCTGTTGTATAAAACCCTATCAGTGTGGGAACACAGCACAGCACAGCATGAGGTCACACATATCTTATCTCTCTTTGCATAAGGTACACTCAAGCATTCATCTACCGGCAAGAGAGGCCGTGAGGAGCTCTGTTCTACCACTCTGCCATGGGTTTTGTTTGGAAGACAGGAATTGTGATACTGTCAGTCTGCCATGAGAAACAACGAAACCGCAACGCCTGTGGCATTTAAGCTAATATGAAGTAGTAACATTTGTATTCACCCCAGGCAACAACTTTGGTGGCTTTCCCAGTTGTGGATGGGGAAGATGTCACTGTGGATACAAAATATAGACAGTAAAAACATTAGTTTTCATGACATTTTGATTTTATGGATCCCTTTTCTGTCCGAATTTAATGCAAAAAGAATGCAAGGGCATAGTTTCATAGTTTATATGGAAGCATATTTGTCTTTGGTCATATTGACTCCTTATCTTAGCCATACTTAATTATCTCTCACTAAATTCCAGGTGCATTCCTATGCTACATATTAATTGAATTTCTGAATATTTTAGTGAAATGGCTCTCTTAGGAAATGTAGGCTGACACTTTTTAAACACATATCAGCGTTTTCTCTCTCTGTTGCTCTCACTTAGTTCTCTCCCTTTCTCTGGTCTGTAAATTGCAGCAGAACGCTCCTCTGTACTGTACAGTATATCTCAACAAGGACAGGGAGTTTAACATTTTCTAATTAACTCATAATTAGTTTTAAAGGGGAGAAAGCTTACTGTAAGCCTTAACTATGGTAAGGTGGTGTTATAGCATACTGGAGTGCTTATGGTCTTTTAACCCGCCTAACTCAATGATGTTCAAACATGTGACGGGTGCAGATTGTTACCTGTTGGCTTGGTTTGTAGCTTAGTTGTGCCATTATTGGGAGCTAAAGGGAAGACAAATACAAGTCACATGAGGTTCATTAAAATATGTGAGTTATGTATATCACTAACAGCACCATACTTACCTATGTACTGTTCATTTGTATTGTAGTGGCGTTGACTGGTTTGCTAGTTTGCTGGCTTGTGGCGCGTTTAGTGGCGAGTTTCTGAGTTGGGGTGAGTCACATCTCTGGTGAATCTGCTCTGCACTCCTCTTCCTGTTACATCAAGAAATAACTGAATCACATGCACTGAGAGAGGCCTGACCTTTGCTAAAAAAGACATTAGATTAAATAAGAAGACGGATGATAGATAGATAAATATGTTTCTGTTTTTACTCTTTAGCTATGTCTACTCGTCACTTAAAAGATGTGAATTAAAAATAATTACATTAAAAAATAATTATGATTTGATAGAATAAGATGCACTACGCAACAGTTAAAAAAGTTACATTAAGCTCTTCCTTGACCACTTTCCTCCTCCACCCACTGACAGACAGTCAGGAAGACAGAACAAAACACAGACTAACACAGGCAGCTTGATAGATAAGTGGATAAAATAACTGTAATGCTAACATTTATGTATATGGTTGTAAATGTAAAAAAAAGGAAAAAGCCTGGAGACTGAAAAGCGCTGCCAAAGTGGAATTTTTCAGCATGGCCACGAGATGCGTACCAGTGGGAGTATGAGCAGTGGGCATTGTTGTTCCGTTTTGCCATATTGTTGCTCACAGACTGCATTTGATCTGCCGTTGTGGGAGACTGAGCTCTTGCCATGCGGGGGAAAAACACATATTTTAATCACCAAAAACACAAGTAGATAAAGCACAGCGATGGCTCCATACTCTAAAACTTTACAGGAAGACCAAAGGGCCCTGTTGTTTACCCCAGTGATGTTCTCAAACAGTGCTGTGATGTATTCCTGGCACAGGCCAGACTGGAGAATGCTGGCCGTGCAGGTGAGGAGGCCTGCAGATGCACTGAGAGTATGTCACAGTGAAAGTCCT